TTTTTCATCAAAACTAAGGATAATGTCAGATTTATTGTTGACTGCGTGTTCTTGCTTTTCAGCATTTAACTTTTCTGCTTTTTGCTCTTTGATTTCGTTAGATAAATCAATGTTTTTTTTAGTGAATCCTCATTTTTCTCACTTTTTTTCAGATGAAGATGCATCGTTTTTTCTTTCAATAAAAACAACTTTCTGCTCTTCTGATAATTTTTGTTCTTGTTCCAATTGTCCAACTTCTTCTGTTTTTGGAACAACGGGTTGCGGAATAATTTTTTTCATATTCTTACTATTATATTCTAAATCTACTTTAATATTATTTTAAATTTTTTGCTCTACCTCTAGACCATTTGGAAAAAAATCTCGTTAAAATTATAATATAGGTAAAAAAATTACATATATAAATGAAATCCAAACCCAAACCGGAGTGAATTTCCTCGCAAAGATGAGTATTTATTACCAAAAAAAGAAAAAGAATTGTAGTTGTAATGAAATTACGGCTTTTTCCTAATGAGAAACGGAAGGAATTCCCCGAAAGTCTGAAAATTAATTGGATTGCTTATAATGAGGATGATCCGACTGAAAGAGTATTATTTGATAATCATCATGGTAAGACTCTCCATTATCATATCGACGGAGAAAAACCAGGAACTCCTTTTGTTTGGATTTCACGAAAACAAGTTGAGGAATTATTTTGAGAAAAAGTTCAAGCCCGTTTTGGTAAATTATAAAATTATGAAATCTCCAAAAACATTTATTTTTAAGTATGATCCGACTGCTACTCCCCACCAAATGTTCGCTAACATGTGAAAGGCAGTTGACACGGGAAAACCTAACATTCAGCCTAAAAACATCCTGGTGAGCAATAGTTTAGAGGCCATTTACCGCTGTATTACCCCTAGCCGTTGAGAAATTTTTACTTGTTTAGTAGAAAAAAAACCTCATAATTTAAGAGAATTAGCCAACCTACTAAACAAAGATTATGCGAATGTTTGAAAAGATATCCAAGCGTTAGCCGGATTAGGGATTATTCGCTTAAAAAAAGAAGGCAAAGAAATCAGACCAATTGCTTTATATGAGAGAATGGTTTTTGATTTACCAGTTAAAGAAATTCATGCTTCTCCTGCGGTTAGAGAGAGGCCAATTTTATTGGCTAAATAGTTTTTGATTATTATTTTTGTATGTTTTATGCTGTTTTTTCCCTAACTAAGTGAATATGAGGAATGCTGTCTAATGAACGCAATCCAGGAGGGTTAATTCAACTAATTAATGCGTCTTTAAATTCATTTTTTTTATACCCATGCCAATCTTTTTCTGTATCTTCTCAATTTCCCTTCATGTCTCATAATATTCAGTGTTCTAAATCCTCACTCAAAAAATAAGGATAGTCATTTTTATGGAATATTCAGCGTTCAGTATTATTGCTTTTCTCATAATGTTTTAGTTCTATAATTTCTTTTAATTTAGTAGGGATTAACATTTCTTTATCTTTTTGATCTTTCTGATATTTTTCTTCTATTTCAGAACTACGATAAAAGCGGTTAAAATCTTGTTTTTCTATTATGTCTTTAATTTGTTCCAGTGTTAGAGGTTTTTCGACCTTTAATTCGCTTTCTACCACAAAATTTTTTTCCATATTCTTTTATAAATTAGTTTTACTTAAAATGATGAAAGAATTTCAGCCAAAAAAATAACATATGCCAACTCTCACTCTCCAAAATATCACCATCCAACAAAAACAAGACAAGAACCTTAATTCTTATTATTTAATTGTTGACAATGACAATAATAACGCCTATTTTTGCTTCCCAAAAGCAGTAAAAAGTGGCTGGGAGGATTTGGTTAGTGATTATCAGAATATTACGGAAGTAGAACTGGAATTTGAGACTAACGAACGGGGGAATAACAAAGTAATTAGTTTGTATGCTTTTAGAGAAGGAGAGATTATTGCCTAATGAGTTTGCTAATTAACAGTTTAAAATTCCCGTTAAAACTGTTAACCTGATTACTAGGAGGCAAAAAAAAGAGACCAAAAAGAACCGAACTAGAACAAAAATGCCATCAACATGTGCGAAACTTCTCCCCAACCCATTATAGTTGACAACAAAGACCAGGCAAAAAACTCACTAAAAAACAGAAAGAATGACACAAAAAAAGGAGGAAAAAGAATAAAAATAATTATTATGAGAGAAATATTACTAATAAAAACCAGTGAAAGCCAGAAAATAAAGGCTCTGCTCGACCAAAATAATACTGATTACGAAATTGTTTATAAAGACACAATCAGTATAAGCGAGGAGGAAATTTGACGCCACGATGCTTATTTAGCCAGCCAAGATAAAGAGCGAGAACAGGAATTAAAAGAGTGAGACAAAGTAACCAGCAAAATAAATGACGAATAATTATAAACGAGGACAAATCTATTGAGTAGATTTTAGCGAATTAGAAGGGGACAACAAATCCAGCGGAACCGAAATAAACGGCAAAAAGCGACCCATAGTGGTTATAACAAAAAATCCTCTCGCATAGCCAGTTTACCATTATCTAGCAAAGTAAAAAATATTAGAATTTTTGAATTATTTTTGGGAAAAGTAGTAATTAACGACCCCAAAAATAGAGAAAGTAAAGTCATGATCGACCAAATAAAAGTAATTGACAAGGCTAAATTAAGAGAAAAAGGCGGTGAATCAACCCCCAAACAAATGACCGAAATAGAGGAAATATTAAAAAAGTTTTTAGAATTAACCGAGAAAATAAAGGCCAAGTTATAAAGCAAAACCTTAAAATTAGAAATATAACATGGTAAATACCCAAGAATATGTCAACAGACTCAAAAATAAAGAAAAAAAACTCTCTTTTAATATAACGCATGAGGAATTGGAAGGAGAATTAGATTTGACTGAATTTACTAAATTAAATGATTAAACTGCTCGGAAAATGAACTTACCAGTTTAAATTTAAGCCAAAATAATGATTTAGAAAGTATTAATGCTTCCAAAAATAAACTTAAAAATTTGGATTGATTAGCCAATTTGCCCCACAAAGACAAGTTAAAATCACTTAATTTGTTTGGTAATGAGATAGGGGAGGTGGATTTTTCTCTGCTTGCTTCTTTTCCTAATTTAGAATCAATAAATCTGAGTAATAATCCTTTAAATGGAAATAATTTAAACTTGGTTGATTTGAACGAACAACAACTTTCCCTGTTAAAAAAATGAATCGAAGAAGGAAAGATTAAAATTAGTGATTGAAAAG